GAGGTCTGCCGGTGAAGTACATTAGCCTGAAATTAAGTTCTTTCGAACTGTACTCAGATTTATGGATGATATCTGTACGTCCGGTACTGTGCGAGCATTCTAGTAGTACAGCTAACATGGAGCGTCGATTATTCGGACCGCCTTAGCAATTAATAGCTAATTTTCAACAAAACAGAAGTCATTCTATTTTTGGACCTTCCTCAAACGACGATCCCATACTATTTTTGCGTCTCATTTGCTTAAATCTGGGACTGCTTCTAGCAATTTACTGTTGACATCTTCAGTTTGTTTAACAATCCAAACTACAGGAGACGAAATGAATGTCAGGACTGCCAGCAGACTGACCAGTAGGCAATGAAGCAGGTTCAGTTATACACAGGTGCTTCAGATAAACCACGGGACCTGTTGATTCGCTTTTCCACATAATTTAACAATTTTTAGTTAATTTTATTCTCTCCTAGCTAAATTTGACAAAAACCCGAGTCTTTATGCATTTTTTGCAGCTATGCAGTGCGGAAAACGCAGGTTGTCTGTGTGTGTCTGTGTTTGTGTGTGTGTGTGTGTCTATGTCTTTGTTTATGTGTGCGCAGACGTCTGTACCGATTTTTCATCTCGAGACCTACAAAAGCTACAGGGTTGAAGGGGACTTAATCTAAATGCATGTACGGGCCCCATCCCCAAAATAGACAGTCCTACCGGCGTGGTACTCACGTAAGAGTCCGCCAAAGTTTCTTGCGAGTAAGCTGCTAACTCGGGAACCAGAAATGCTTGAGGGCTGAAATCTTGAGAGGATGCTCCCCGTCCAAGTAGGTATTAATGAACTCAAACCCAGCCCCCGGGTAAGCGTGGCACCTGCGAACGGGCCCGTGAAATTTTTTTTGGGAAAGTTAGTAATTCGAGAACCTGAAAAGCTAGAAGACTGTAGTTTCAAGAGTATGTTCCCCGTCCAAGTAAGTTTCAACGAGCTCAAATCCAGACATCGGGTATGCGTGTTACCCACGTGCGGGCCCATGAAAATTTTTTTCCAGTAAGTTGCTAACTCAGAAGTCAGGAAAGCAAGAAAGCTGAAATTTCAAGGGGGTGTTTTTTGTCAGTTCTGGCGGCCAGTTCTAATTTGTTTAGCTAGAAGCACTTGCCGAAAAAATCGATGCCTGTAGCGACAAAAACTGCGGGGAACTATGCAAAAAACGCATCTTCGCGCAGGCAGCCCGTGCGTTGGCCAATTATTTGAAGACAAATCTTGCGCACGCCTTATGAATTCTTGTCATCTTCTGACGGGTTTGTACGGTTGGGCAAATGAACTTTCTGCTCTTTGACTTCACTTTTTCCATGGGTTCTCTTACAAACCATTTTGTATTACTCTATCGAGAAAAAAGGCGACCACTCCTACCCTCTTCTCAATCGTCAGTCACCTCATTAGTTTATATCATTATTTCAGCGTTTCATTGTTCCTACTTTCATTAGTTACTAAACAAACTAAAAATTACTTCGGAAAAACAATGCCAGAATTCCCGTTGCAAAAGCCCAAACTTG